AGAGAGAGAGAGAGAGAGAGAGAGAGAGAGAGAGAGAGAGAGAGAGAGAGAGAGAGAGAGAGAGAGAGAGAGAGAGAGAGAGAGAGAGCAAGCAGTCGCCTGTTTTAGACTTCGGCGATTGCGGTCATAAACAGCTTGCATTCAATTCGTTTTCGTATAATAATAAGATTTTTGGAGCGGTTTCCATCTTCATGCATGGTGATTCGGTGTGCAGTGTTCGCGTGTGTGAGTTTTCGGTGCAATTTCAGTGTGCTGTGAGTTTTGTTTCGCGTGCCTGCGGATCGTGGTCCATTGCTAGTCGGTACACCATGAACCCGAGTTCGAATCCACAATGGAACAAGATGAATGAAGTCCAATGCTTTCTGAATTACCAAGGGCTGATGAGTTCTTCTTTTTTTTTTTTTTTTTTTTTTCCCCAGAACCTCTTGGTTCTGGCTCCTGCCATTCTGGGAGCAACAGTCCGGTTCCTTCAACGATAATACTTCACAAGGGCGTTGCCCTTTTTTTTTTTTTTTTTCCTTCTTACAGCACTAGTACCTCCGCCAGTGTTGGGAAAATAGGGAAAACTGGCAGTTTTCCCAAACTCCTAAAACGTCGCGGGGCTGGGGCCGACGACAGCCGCTGTTGATTTATCTCATCGGTGGCCGTCGTTTCGTTTCGGCCTCCTCCTTAAAGATCGGAGGCCCACCCGAGGCCTCCCTATTTTCCCAACCGGCAGGGGTACTAGTGTTTTTTTTTTTTTTTTTTCTCAAAGAAAAAGACTTGATGCCTCTCACCTTTTCGTTGCGGATGGTTGTCAGCTCTGCCATCATGTTCCGAATCTTCCTCTCCAACGGTTCCGCAATAATAGCCGGTCTGTCCAGCTTTTTTAACTTCAGTGAATCCTTTGGCTTTGACTCGAAAGGCAGCGATGCTAGCAACGTCTTCGGTATCTTCAGCGGATTGAACTTGCGCGGAGTCCTTTCAATTGGCTGCATTTCCAACACCACAACAGACAGACAGACAGACCGCAAAAGTTTAGAACAGAAATAAAAGAGCGGGGGGGGGGGGAATTTATGCGTAATTTCAAAAAATGAGTGCTTCAGGACATGCATTAAAATTGGAAAGATACAGACAAGATGAGAGAATGACCCCTGCGAAATGATCACACACGTAAATCGGATTATGGCCCCAATTTCTCCCAAAAGGAAAAAAAAAAAACAAAAAGGAACAGAGAAAATGAAAAGAAAAGGAGTTCACTTTCATCCATCCATAAAATAATTTAAAATTTTAAGGTAGCTGAGTTCCTCTCTCCTGTGTAATACATTTATTAAATTTTTATTTCGCTCTAGTATAATATTTTTATTACACTTTATTAAAGTTTATTTATCAAAAAAAATACTAAGAATTAGTAAGAATGTATTAAACCTGGAGCTACGGATGGCCCAATGACGTGTACTGCTCGTTACGAATCATACAAAACGAGGAGAGAAAAGGTGAGTGTCAATGCGAAAGAAAAAAAAAAAAAAAGAGGCAAAAGTGTGCAGCAAAGTGACAACAACGTTGTTTAATACTGTGTCAATATGAAAATAAAAAAACTGAAAAAAAAACTGAGGCTAAAGTGGGCAGAAAACGAACAATTGTTAAGCTGTCTGGACAACTAAAAAAAAAAAAAAAAAAAAGAGCATACTGACGCAAAAACTAATTTACATGTTTATAGAGTCAATAGACATAATTGCGGACAGATACATGCAAGTCCGGTCATACGCGCGATCGCATACATTTAAGATAGGGCTAGTGTCACACTCGTACGTCCCTAAATGAGGCCAACTGCAATTAGGTCAGACCTGGATGAATCTGACCGCACTAACGTCCAGATTCCGGAACTTATTAGAAAAAGTCCTAGCATGAGTACGCCCGAAGACTGGTAGAAATACACAAATGGCGGACCTTCTACACCTTTGATGCTACACAGGAGGGTTTGTTATCGGAACAACACGAAACATCCCCCCTGCCTGGTGCCTTGCTCCACTACAAACCACTATAATGTACCTGAACCTGCTACCGATCCCTATACATTACGAATGTTGGACAAGTCCAAATGTATCTGGTCTGAGCAAGGCCCATGGTATAAGAGGAGACTGTCCTACAAGTCGAACTCGACACCAGCAGCACCACCACAGCCTCTTCCTCTCAATCTTTGTGACTGAAAAAATGATACAACCATCATTACGACTCTGATTATACCTTTTCGATTCCCAATGGATCGGAATGACATGGGGCCTTCTCATGAATGGCTGCCTTTGAGACAACCAAAAGTGCTGGGCATATCAAACAATGATTCACAAAAAAAAGAAAAAAGATTTGTGGCGGCGACCCCGACGACTCTGGCAAGCAACACCTTCTGGCCTAGCTCAGTTGGTACACCCCCCCTGACCTGAACTGTTGAAATACAGACCAGGTCCTGAGTTCGAACTCCAGCGGAACTAAATGACTCTGGCAAGCAACAAGGTGGTGGTGTATCTATTGCCTTTCCCGCGATAGATACATTTGGAGCTGCGCTGATGTGTGCGAGTCCCACTGCTTCTGTGGGACCGCAGTATGGTCCAACCTGACGTCTGCCCAACAACGCATGGTACATGGAATACAGTTCAATACATGGAAGGAGCGAAGCGACGCTGACAAACAGCTGCCCGTGAATTTTCACACAAAAATTAAAAGCGATTTATACTTCATCGCTGAGCTTGCTGAGACTTTGGAGCGCAGATGCGAGTCTCCGTGTAGCAATGCCTGGTACAGAAAATTCAAAATAGTAAAATAGTAAAAAAAAAAAAAACACTACACATCTTTTCGCTAAGAGGCTGGGAAATCTAAGTACTCCTACATGCCTGGAGGAGTAGACAGGGCAGACAATGCATGGTAGCGACAAAAAACAACAAACACATGCGCAAGGATAACACGCATAAATTGAGAAATGGTCACACACAAAAAAAAAAAACTCGGTGACATACGACGTACCTTGTAAAGAGAGTCATTGTTCACTGGTACAAGCCATTTAAAAAAGGAAAAAAGAAAAAGGAAAGAAGAAAAAGGAAAGAAGAAAATGTTCAGAAAACAACAAACACAAACATATACTTGGTGACATACGACGTGTACCTTGTAAAGAGAGTCATTGTTCACTGGTACAAGCCATTTAAAAAAGGAAAAAAGAAAAAGGAAAGAAGAAAAAGGAAAGAAGAAAATGTTCAGAAAACAACAAACACAAACATATACTTGGTGACATACGACGTGTACCTTGTAAAGAGAGTCATTGTTCACTGGCACAGGCAGTCCCTTCTCTCTTCGCAGCTGTGAGACTGTTTTCATGCCCTTCCAGCCCATCTCGTCGGCACTTAACAGATTTGTGACCGGGTTGAAGTATCGAGGCACGTCCACGTTAACCCATGCTCGAAGGAAGACGATATCGCTCATCAGTATTTTGTCTTCGAAAGTGCACCGCACTTCCCCCCCCTCCTTTCGACCAAACTTCGATCCCGGACGCACAGCCCGTTTGATCTGTCCTCTAACGCCGCTCACAGTGCGCACAATTGCGCCCTCGAACCGCGCTGCCTCCAATTCCGACGTAAACATCCTCCGCAGAAACGCTGTGTTCTTCATAATCTTGTATGGATATCCAACAAGCTTCAACTTTTTCACAATGCGAAACGATTGATCCAGCTCCAGAACCACCCCCGTCGCGCATATGCGAAATGAGGACTGACCAATCAAGCGACATACAAAACCAGGCCGACAAGCAAGGAAGCAAGTTATCACCGAAACTACTATAGCGGGTAACGAAGCAAGTCTCATCGTGTTCACAGATTGGTTTCAGCCGAAGCCGGGTAATGGCCCCGGTATCTCAAATGACCTCAAACGACCTCAAATGTTCTCAATGATCTGTATAATTCGATATGGGACGCTGGGCCCGGTTCCCAGCACGTGCTGCTCCTCACGAATAGACTGGAGCACTTGTTCAAAAAAAAAACAAAAAAACAAAAAAAAGAACGCAGGCAAGGGAGTGGGCAAATACCAGGTGCCTACGCACACCACCGTCATCCCCTGAACGCAACGCAATGCAACGCACCATCATCTTGTCCGTATCGGGACGGACACGTAGCTTGTATACACATTCATAATCAGGTTGCATTGTGTTTGAGGGAAGACGGTAGCACTTCCGGGACTGAATCTGGCTATACACCAAGCAAGGGGTGCATAAGCAAGCAAGCAAGCAAAGTATCAACAAAAGCAAGACAGGAAGCAAGCAAAGTGTCAGCACAAGCAAGCCAGCAAGCAAGAAAAATAGCACTGAAAGCAAAACACGAAAAATAGAACCGAAAGCAAAGCAAGCATAATATGAGCAAAAGCAAGCAAGCAGCCTACCAGTAACAGCAGGGAGGGAAAAAAAAAAAAAAAAAAAATCTTTCGCCAGCCTGCTGGTAGCAGAAGGGAGAAAAAAAAAGTGTTCATTTACAGCCAGAAATTTGGTTTTGCCATGATGGAACATTTGTTCTATTTTAAGTATTTTCTTTGTCTTGAAAAGGTATGCAATCAGTGTATGTTCCTGATTTTTTAAAATGTTGCAGTCAATAGATTTTGCAAAAAGCAGATGACCGCTCGCAACCAAGCCTATCGACCCACCCCGCTGCCAGCCGCGGGCACCCGGCATAGCATTTTTTTTTCAGCGCCCGGCGACCTTTTCACCATTGAGATCTCGATACTCTTTTTAATGTTTCCCCGTTCAAAAGTAAAAACATAATCCCCATGCAGTATCTCGTTTATCTTTCGTTTAAACCACCGGTACCTCCGAGCCTCTTTTTGCCGACGCTGATTCCCCCTACACGCCAAAAAAAAACGAATCGCCATGGAGGCATTTTTCTCTTTTTTTTTTTTGGGGGGGGGCCCTGGCATCGCCTGCCACTTTGGTCCGCTAGCACTGTTCATCCAAAGAACCCGGAATGCCGCATTTTCCATTCTCAAGGCTTTATTATTATTATTTTTTTATTATTTTTTAAATTTTACATTTTCCATTCTCAAGTTTGCCTGGGCGAGTTAATTGTGGTTTAAACTTTAAAAGCAATAAAGAATAGTTTCGAATCTTTCGATCCTTTCGGACAAGACATCTCTTGTGGATGGGGCTGAAAAATTCGCTGCTGAATGTTTCACCGTTGAAAAGTTGAAGTGTCATTCTGCACATCATCTCCTACATCCTTGATTTAAAAACTTATTACGGAGAGTAAGCTTCCTACAAGAGAAGTGTCATTCTGCACATCATCTCCTACATCCTTGATTTAAAAACTTATTACAGAGAGTAAGCTTCCTACAGGAGAAGTCTCTTGTTGATCGGGCTGTGTGAGGTTGAAGGGAGAATACAGAGGCAACTCTATTCACCGTGCGCCGGGCGGATCTTATTTCTCCAAAGATTTCACCGTTGAAAATTGTGAAGTAAAAACTGTAAAATACTAAAATTCGTTCGATGTCGCGGACAACGGGCCAAAAAGTTTTATCAACAGCAACTCCAGCAATAGACAGCTGAATATTGGGCAGGCGAAGGTTCTACAGAGGAGGAATTTCAAGCCGTACAAGTGTTTTTTTTTTTTTTTTTTTTTTTTTTTTTTTTTTTTTTTCCAGGCATACAAGGTCAAGTGAAACAGATTGGAAAAAGTTTTATAAAGGAAAGAATGCCGCGCTACTCTGGATTGAGTACCATTTACTTGCGACGAACAGAAGCAGACACGAGAAGATAAGATTCGATGAAGAAGAAAGAACATGCGACAATCACACAGATAACAGCGGCACACGTACGGAAAAAAACACATACCTGATTGTTTGAGAGCATTTGGAAGGCGACAAGACCTGTGTTCGGAGGAGCGAGAGGCCCCCAGAAGATAGCACGGCAATGCATGTGCTCCGGGGTGTACTTCAGCATTCGGTGGCGCCCATTTTGGTCTTCAATTGCGTAAACTGGCAAAGTCTGATATCGTCGCCAGCCTAAGGATACCACCAAAGGATCGCGGTTCTTCAGAACTTTCTCATGCCATCTGTGCCTCTTCAAGCGAACCTGGAGTCGGAAATTTCCAACAACAAACGAGAGCAACAATTCAAAATGAGCGCCCTTAGAAGCAGAAATGAGCCAGTGTGTCATCTATTGATTTCTAGCAATTTTCTAGTAATTTTCTAGTAATTTTCTAGTAATTTTCTAGTAATTTTCTAGTAATTTTCTACTGTTTTTGAGCTGTCAGGACTGGTTGACACTAGATAGCCAGTGATAAGTCCAGTTGTTTCAAACAACCCCTACCCCGGTAGCAGTTCGTGCTCTGACACCTGCTCCTTTGGCTACTACCGTCTTCACACGAACATAACGCATATAAGTTGCATTTGAGTTTTCGAATTTGAAAAAAAAACGATTAGAACACATACGAGTTGTATTCGAAATTTAGGGATATTCAAATAGAACACATATGCGTTGTATTGGAATAGAACGCCGCCTATGCGTTGTATTCGTTAACAACGCATGGGCGTTATGTTCGGGGGAAGAAGGTAGCACTCCCTACCGGTAGTTTCCGACCAGTAGAACAAGTACCGTCTTCACCCCTACAGAGCACCTGATCATTGTCACTCTATCTAGACTGAAAGTCGCCCCAAATACAGCTGCTATATGATGATCGGACGTTCTATTAGGGTGACAACGCCAAAGGAGCAGTTGTTGTGCGGTGTTTACCGCTAGCGGTGATCGCAATACCCATGGTTCTTCCAGTTCTGGTACCACAAGTAGTTATAGAGCTGTACTGGCGGTGGTCGCAGCAGCGGCAGTGGTGGCGGTGGCAGTGGAGGTGGTGGCTGTGATGGAGTGCGTGGTGTGGGGGTGGATGAGCAGGTAGTGGTGGCGGCAGAGGATGTAGAGGTGGAGGTGGTGGTGGTGGCAAAGGTGGTGCTGCTGGAGGTGGCGTCCGTAATACCGACGGCGGTGATGACCGCAGTCGTAGTCGCGAAGGGTGGTCATAGTTGTGGTGGTGCTCGTAGTTGTGGTGGTGGTAGCAGTAGTTGTAACAGGAGGAGGACGGGGGGGAGGGGGAGGGGGAGGAGGAGGAAGAGGAGGACTGGAGAAAGAGAGGGATGAGGGTGAGAAGCAAGAAGAGAGCAGCAGAGGTAGGAGAAATGATGACGAGAATGGCAAGAACGGTCGTGATAATGCTGATCATGATGTGTCTCCCACATCAGGCTGGCTGTGGATAAAAGGTGCAGAAAGGAAAAGGCCCATCAGATTTTGATCTTCCTGTTACAGGCCGTCAGATGCCCAGGGGAACTGCTGGCGTGTGCGGGGGAGGATGGGTGCCGGTGCTTTTTTGTGCATCCCCAAGTAGACGCATTGGGCATGATTTCAATCACCAGCCCGTCCAAGCCTTCTTTTTCTTTGCTTTTGTTTCTAAAGGGAAGAAAAAAAACAGTCCGTCGCAGCCTCTTTTTCCAGCTGTGCCGCCAGCCAGTTCCTGCCAAACCGGCATGGCATGCAATTTGCCTGGCGACACGATTTTGTGGAGTGTTAAACCGCGCGCGTTGGAACAAAATAGCTGGGAAAGGTACTGGTGGTTTGAGTACGGAACTCAGACCTGCGTCCCAGAGTGGGGACTCAACTCTCAAAATCCTTCGTAGTGTGAATGTGATGTCGTAATTACTGTGATGGGGGTCGCTGGGCGACGTAGAAGATTGGGATTGAGCTGAAGCATAATTGCTGCAGTGAATCTTTCACCTTCTGGTCACTATTCATTTACTGTACGCATAATCATCCAACAAAGTGTCAAAATGGTACGTAATGGACAGAGCGATGGGCATACAACTGTTGTGGTACATAATGTAGCAGCATTTTAGCTGCCTTGAAGTGAGTCCCAAAGATGTCGTGGGCCGACGAGTTACCCCGAGAGACAATTACGCGTTCACGCTGTACCTGCATATAGCCAGTTGACTCCTCATGTGCCGCCAAGCCACCGATCAAGAGGGGCTTCCTTGGGTCGAAAAACGCCACCATTTCGTAAGGCATGCCCTTCAGCTCAAGGCGCATGTACGAGCCCCCTGGGAACCCCTCCATCTCGACGCGGGTCTTGGGATCCAGTCCCGCAAGCTCTGCCTTGTTCCTCTGTTTCTGCAGCTCCATTTCCTCCTTTATCTGTTGTATCGACAAACAAATCAAATCAGAAAAAGACATGCGGCATCGACATTTGCTTCTGCGTTAGTTAACCCCACAAAAAGCTGAAATGACCAACAGCCACATCGCATCGTTTCGAAGAAGGAATGAGTGCAGTACAACAAACACCTTTTCTCGTTTCGAGGAAGGAATGAGTGCAGTACAAACACCTTTTCTTTCTTTTTTTTTTTTGAGCGAGGTACAAACACCATGTGAGGCCCGATGGAATATGCTGCGAAACTGCGAATGCAAAAACTTATGGCACGATTCCGAGTTATGACTTGGGAGGCTGCGGGCTTCTCTAGTGAAGTCAAGTCCATTAGAGAGATCCGACACGCCTCTCCCGACACCATCCCCCCCAGCAGTAGTGGAGAATTCAAGGCATCATCCACGAGCTGCGGGCAACGCAACAGCAAAGAGGCTCACGAGGGAAAGAATGCAGATTAGTGATAATTGTCTCGGCTGTGCTGCTGTGCACAGCTTCATTCAGTCAGTGTTTCTTTTCAGCCATAAGAAAGAACGACAAATGTCATGGGACGATGGGAGGCAAAAGAAAAGGAAGGTTGCGTAAACAGCCAGCACGCTTACCTGGTCGTAATAACTTTTCTCCATTTCCTTGCGGCCAGCACCATGCTTCTCTGGTTTCTTTTCGTCATCCTCGTCATTCTCATCTTCATCGCCTTCCATCCCATCATATGTATGTTAAAGTCAAGGACAGGACAGTAACATCTTGGCATCAATCACAATGCTCATTGTCGATGGTCACTTGTGGTTCCTCTCTGACTTACGGGTTCAAACTCCAAACACCATGTGCCACATTTTGCCAGTTTGCAATAACGAACAGTTAGTGCGAACATTGATTGCAATAAGGAACAGTGACTGTTAGTGCGAACACTGATTTTATGCAGCTGGCGGCCCCGAGGCCCATATTGATGTGACGGCGTAGTCTAGGGTGGCGTTGAGAACCACTTATCAGCAGGGCTGCTGTGAGCAGGCCTTTTTTAGTGATGCTGGGTTGCCAAGCTCTGACATGCAGGGATGTCTGCTGTGAGCAGGCCTTTTTTAGTGATGCTGGGTTGCCAAGCTCCGACATGCAGGGATGTCCATGTCCGACGGCTTCTCATAAGCATGTCAGACAATAGATAACAATCACACAATGTCCGGAACTTGGGGGGGGCATAGATAGATAATGGCCCCAAGTGCTTGCAACCATAGAGATTGTGGTCCCAAGTGCCAGGGACCACAGATGATGGTCCCAAGTGCCAGGGACGACAGATGATGGTCCCAAGTGCATGGGCCCCAAGAGATGATGGTCCCAAGTGCCTGGGACCATAGATGATGGTCCCAAGTGCTGCCTGGGACCATAGATGATGATGGTCCCAAGTGCTGCCTGGGACCATAGATGATGATGGTCCCAAGTGCTGCCTGGNCATAGATGATGATGGTCCCAAGTGCTGCCTGGGACCATAGATGATGATGGTCCCAAGTGCTGCCTGGGACCATAGATGATGATGGTCCCAAGTGCCTGGGACCATAGATGATGGTCCCAAGTGTTTGGAAAACACATTTAAAAAAAGGCCTGTCTTTGCCGAAAGATGTCCGTGAATCGAAACTTAGATGCCGATACTCGTGCCCCCGACAGCCCCATACTGGGCCAGCAAAAAAAGATGTTCTGAGAAAGGCCCCTTATAATCCTTTATTGCCAAAATAGCTCATCCATAGCACGTTAAGTTCAAAGTCGGAAACACGATGCTGATGATGCTGATGATGATGCTACGATCATATTGACAACACAGTCAATGACAATAACGAGGAGGATGACAACGATGACGGCGACAATGATGACCACAATGGCGACGACAACGGTAGCGATGATGATGTCACCTGGAGCTTTCATGGTGCTTTTTCTGTGTTCAGAGGCTTTCCTGGGCCCCCTCCAATTTTCTGACTCTCAACTTTCTGACACAGTGACCCCCAACTTTTGACACCCAACCTTCCGTCATAGTGACACCCAATTTTCCGACCCCCAATTTTCCAACCCCCAGTTTCCTGACCCCCAATTTCCTGACCCCCAATTTTCCGACATCCCATTTTCCGACACCCAATTTTCTGACCCCCAATTTCCTGACCCCCAATTTTCTGACCCCCAATTTTCTGACCCCCAATTTTCTGACCGCCAATTTCCTAAACCCCACTTGCTAAGCCCAAGTTTTTCCTGTTCGCTTAGTCCAGAGCAGAACCTTCAGTACTACTGTACTCTGTGTGCCTTGGGGACTTGTGTTAATCTCGGTTCATGGTGGATATCTGCAAGTTGTGCTGAAAGCATCGCCCGTCGCGGACCCTTTTATAGTTGACGTGGCGAGACAAAAGAACCAGATGAGGGAAAACTTCAAGCTGCACAAGCCATACATATATATACTTACAGAAACTGACGATCCTACATTAGTCGAAAGGAAGGAAGAAATGGGAGAGTTGCCAGGTCAAAAAAGGATATTTGGAATCGAATCGTGCTTTCAGAGCGAGTTTCTTAAGACGCCTCTCTTCCGCTTCTGCTCCTTTACTCCCTGCCGCTGGATTCTGTGACCCCTTGTGACCAGCACCATGTTTCTCTCCTGTCTCTAGATCCTCGAAATCCCCGAAGACTTCCTCGTCACCATCATCGTCACCACTCTCTCCTTCTCCTCCATCCCCTTTGTTCCTCAAAGCTGCTTTCTCCCAGTCCCCAGTCACGAATCGATCCCTGATCGACTCTATGATCTGTAAAGAAAAATACCAATCAAATCAATGCAACTTGTCAGCCAGAGGTAAGCCAATCACCTCAGCGTAACGATAGACTAAAAATGTGATTACTAACATCCATTGAAGAAGTCCAAGCTGAAAGCTCCGCCTCGCCTCTCTCTCCTGAGCCCATTTTCACCACAATATAACTCCTAGCCTCCTGCTAGAAATGCTTGCCAATGGCTGAGAGTGATGGCTGAACAGGACGGACCTATCTCGTAGGCCAATCACACACAGAACCAGGTCAGAAGCCAATCGTTATAAGCAGAACCAGACTATAAACCTCTCTACTTCTCTATTCACCCTACAGGGCCTATGGAGAATCGGGCTTACGATTGGTGTAGAGGTACACACAAACTTGACAATTTCAACCATGGAATAATGCACATACCAAAGCACATAGTACATACTGATCGATTCCATAAGAAAGTACAAAAGAAACCACTGCAGTTCATTTTCAACAGGGAAGAAAGTCATGTTCCAAAGCACTCACGAGTCACCACTGATTTCACAAAAAGAACACATACGGTACATCACAGCAGGTCATTCTCAACATGCATATACTCCCCGACAGTCACATCCTCTCTCTCTCTCTCTCTCACACACACACACACACCACACACCTATACTCCCCGACAGTCACATCCTCTCTCTCTCTCTCTCCCTCTCTCTCTCTCTCTCTCTCTCTCTCTCTCTCTCTCTCTCTCTCTCTCTCTNCACAAGCATGCATGCATGCATATACTCCCCGACAGTCACATCCTCTCTCTCTCTCTCTCTCTCTCTCTCTCTCTCTCTCTCTCACACACACACACACACACACACACACACAAGCCTGCATGCATGGACATACTCCCCGACAGCCACATCCATACTCCTGGATGGCACTTTGCAGGGGGGCACACAGATGCAACAATACGATTTTAACGGATGTCCTGAAGGACAGGATGGCGATAATTCTTACCTCATCGTGTGACCAATCACTGAGTTGTGTGCTAGGAAAGTGAAACCTGCTGCAATCATCGGCATCAATGTCTTTCAGATTGGAATATCCACTATGTGAGGCTTCCTGCATGATGCACAAGCAAATACCGCCCCCTCCCCGCAAAAAAAAAATCAATTGCAAGAGGTGATGACGGTGAAGACAGCAATACAAACACGGTGATAACAAGTGCAACAAGTTCGTTGGAAAGCAAAAATGATCTCCTCAAGCGAGGCAGAGGTCACCCGAGACGGAACAAAAGATCTGAAAGTGAGGCAGAATGTCACAGAAGTGTCAGAAGACAAATTGATTTAATACCTAGTGACTGTATTTCACACCGTAATCCAAAATTAAAACGTGACATGATGCAATAAACTGATGTTAGCTTACTGTTTCGACGTTTTTGTTTACTCTTTCGAAGTTTCCACCCTTTTTTAAACTTACTTTCCCCCCCTTTTTCTAACTTCCTTTTTTCCTCCTCCTTTCCTCTTTCTCTCTCCCTCTTCCACACTCTCTCTCTCTCTCTTTTTCCTCCGCCATTCTCTTTCCCTCTCCTCTCCCATCACCTGCCTTCCTATCTGTCTTCCTCTCCCCCTCACCGATTCTCCTTCGTTCTCCTCATGTGGTCCATTCTTCTTTTCATGCCTCCCTGCCTCCCTCTCCCTCCTCCTTTCTTGTTTCCTCACGTTTCATTCATCCCTCTCTTCACCCCTTCTCCACCTCCTCCTCACCTCGTCCGTTCCTGAACTTGCCCTGTCCTTCTCTATTAACGCTACAATCACTACCTGCACCTTTGCAGCCACCATCACTCATGCTCCTCCCTTCGTTTGGCACGATGATACAAACAGGCCTTGTCATCCCAATGAGAAGCATGCATCAGGCAGATTCGCAAAAGAAGGACGTCCAGCAGTGGCAGCCGATTAAAACTCTTTGGGAGACAGTCTTGACGACGAAGGAGCCATTCTTTTACCTTGTGCGAAGCACGGCGGTGGCGAAACAACTCCTCAGGAGCATCACCATCCTCGTCACTGTCGTCATTTCTCAGGAGACTGCTCCTTTCAGGGCCCTCTAATGACCCATAGACAAGTTCCATCAGATTGATCTGATCAAAACACAGCAACAACCAAGCACACAGATCCACAACACGTACAACCAATGACATTTAGCCAACGAGGTCAAATGCATACAGAAGCTCCTCTCTCTCTCTCTCTCTCTCTCTCTCTCTCTCTCTCTCTCTCTCTCTCTCTCTCTCTCTCTCTCTCTCTCTCTCTCTCTCTCTCCCACCCCCCCCTGCTCCCCCCCCTGTAGGGACAACAGAATCAAGCTGCACTCGGTCCTTCATTTCATGAGGGTGGGATGACTTCAGAGGAGCTGGGAAGTGGGCAGGGAAAGCAGGAAGATGCAGTGTGTGAGGCAAACGGGATAGCCGTTACGGGTAGACATACAGGACTTTCCGGCTATCAGTCTGTGGATATGTAGCACGTGCCGGCCAGCAAGATATGGTCCAAGGACTCTATCAGGCTATGTCCTTACGGATGTCAAACAAGCGCAACGCCTGCCTCACCTGAAGGTTCAGAAAGAAGAGTTCAATCTCAAGCACAGAAGGATATGCTTCCTGCCATACTAGGACAGAGGCAGGATTCAAGGATTGGGCGAAGTGCAGCTTTCCCGTCTCCTTCTCATGCGAGGATCTACTCTTTTCCATCCACGTCAAAGTAAGTTGAAATGGAGACACCACTCGAATGGAGCTCTTCTCATTCAGAGCAGGCTACAATGTCAGAGGCCGAGGCATGAACATTGAACACCTGCGGGGAGGTTTCACTTGAATGGAGTCTCCATTCTGGACCACAGGTTTCAAGGACCAGCGGCAAGAGACCCGGAACCCGGGGTAGGGGTACCAGGGGGGGGCTTGACCCTACGGTTGTTGAGAAGACAGGTTTAGAGGCTGGGGCCTGGCAGGCAGGTTCAAGGACTGCAGGCTGCAGGTCAGGACACAGTCGATGACATCAGCCTTGGCCTATTGTGCAATTGCCAGCCTTGAGGATTGTCCTTAAATCTCTGGCAAGTGTTGCAAAGTCTCCAAGAACCAAGATATTACATACTTCTTTAAAAAAAAAAAAAAAATTTACAGTTTGAAGTTTGGAACTACAAAAAATGAAATTTGGCATTCTTCTCTCAACCAAACAGACACTGAGTGCTTTAACCACTAGAAAGAGAGCATACCTTCTTGGCGAATGTGTTTGCCGATTTCTCCACCAGTCCCTCCTTCCACCGGTTGCTTATCCCTTGGCCTCCACCTACATCATCACAGACCGTTGACTGCGTCATCATCAAGTGTAAATGAGGGCGATAATCACGATCGTCATCACGATCATCATCACAATCATCATCATCATCATCATCATCATCATCATCATCATCGTCATGATGCTCAGGATTTGATGGGCTGCTGCTTCCCATAAATGCATTCAGAAGCTCCTTCATCAGACCGTTTACTGCATTAAGCTCTTCAAATAAGCTTATCAGAGAAGATAAATGTCCAAAAGAGAGAAAGGGACTAATAGAGAAAAGTGCCAAAAGTCAGATGAACTGTAACCGTAACACAGTGTTCAGCGGATGGGTCCTGCCTCACTCTCATCCTGCTTTGCTTACACGTGCAAGGATTCCTTGCAAAGGAAGCTTTCATTGGCCCAGCCTTCACTCTCATCCTGCTTTGCTACTCACCTTTGTCCTGTTGATTTGAACCATGCTCTGCGCAGTCCGGGTGTCTGCATGGGTGGCAATGCCCTGCTTTACTTGCCTCTTGGTTACAGTGACCGTGTCTTGTTCTCCCGTGAAGTTACAGTGCTTGCTGCTCCCAGAAACCGCACGGCAAGGAAAAAAGTGGTGCCTGCTGGTCCCGTAGTAACCACAGGGAAAGGAAAGTGGGGCATGGTCGAGTCAAAAATGTTTTCGGCAAGGAAACTTCTGTTGTTCCAGCGCTTTCCATGACCATGCTGAGCTATTCACCCTTTCCCAAAAGCACCCCACCACTAGCCACAGATCTGTGTAAAGATATGTAGATCGATCTCTGAACAGATCTATGTACAGATCTGTGGACTATAGATCTATGAATAGGGGTGTGGGGCAGGGGTGCAGGGGGTCGTATCGAGTGTGACAATACGAAACATCACAACCTATTTTTGTTTTTTTCAGGACTGGGCGTAGTGCTGGGGAGACACACTCCACCTCGCCCACGGTGTACAAGGGAGTCGCCTCGGACTGGGAGGATTTATGACATTGAACAGAATCATCTGGGTGCGGGGGGGGTTAACATATGGACTTTGTACGCAGAGTACCAACGAACATTGCGTGCAATGTGTTACACAGAATACAAATGCACATTCCATGCAATGTGTTACGTAATACGTAGCCTACAACATAATATAATATCACACACCCAAATCATCAGCAGGAATTCATCGAGAAACACAGGATGCAGCAATCAACGGGCTGCAGGCTGGGAATTATACCTTCATCATGTCCTGGTTCATCTGTATCTGAGAGCTTCAAGCGTTCCTCCGCTGCTTGTTCAATCCTCTTTCTTGTGATTAGATCATTTTCTTCATCAGATTCCTCCTCCTCTTCCTCCTCCTTTCCAACAGACCGCTGCATCCGCCGATGCGCATTTTTGGTTTTTGCATCCTTAACGTCCTCCTCCTCATCCTTGTCTTCCTCCTCGTCCTCCTCCTCCTCATCATCATCATCTTCCTCTTCGTCCTCTTCTTCCTCCTCTTCCTCTTCTTCCCCCTCATCGTCATCTTCTTCTTCCTCTTCCTCCTCGTCCTCCTCCTCCTCATTATTTGCATCATCTTCTACTTCCTGTTTCTGGGCTTCATCATCTTCACTGTCTTCATCACTGTCACTTTCATCGCTGGATCCGTCAAATTTCAGTTGCTCTCTTGATTGATCCTTGCCGTCTCGGTTTTCCTTTTTACTGGAATCGTCGGTCCCTTTCATGCCATCGGTTTCAGCCTTCTTGTCGCTAAATACAGCTCTCCTTCTCATCCGCCCCCCCGATTGGACAATTTCCTCTGACACCCTCCCCATGACCCCAGTTGAACCGTCTCCTTTGCCACTTTTCCCCATCCCATTCATGTGGTCACCTTTGCTTTCCCTTTCAACCTTCTTACTCTTCTTATCCATCTTCTCCTCCTCCTCCTCCTCCCCCTCCTCCTCCTCCTCTTCCTCTCCCTCCTTCTCCTCTTCCTCCTCCTCTCCCTCCTCGCTGTTGGCACCTTCCTCCAGATCGTCCCCACTTCTCTCCTCACTACCCTCTTCACTCTCCTCACCATCACTTTCACGATCTGTGCCATTCTCTGGTGCAAGGTTAGACAGAGTCATGCCCGGAAGCAGCTGGATGTTGCTCTGCCTAAGCTTTTCATCTATTGTATACTTTGTGTCTTGCAGCGTCCGAACCATCACCTCACCAACATCCTTCGTGCCTGCCAAACAAGAGACAAAGCAGCGGCAACGTCTTCAGTCCCTGCCAAAAAAAACATCAGAACTCTCCTGCAGCAAGTGTACAAGTCGTCAGGATTCGAAAGTTGAAATTAATAAATTATACCATGGAACAGCAGCAGCAACAAACACAACTGCTTATAAAAAGCTGGGCTCGAAACGAGAAATACAATGGCAAGGTGATGCTGCACATCTTGGATGAGCAGCACCAGGCCAGGAGAGGCCATGCCATGTGAAAGAAAAGTATTAAACTACCAGTACCTTTGTCGGTTCGAAAATACTCGGCCTCCGACCTTTCAGGAGGCCGAAACGAAACGACGGCCGCCGATCAAATTGATCAACGTCGGGCTCGGCCTCCTGAAAGTTCGGGTACTGGCCAGGACTTGTCAAAACCGGACGCCAAAGGTACTAGTGGTTTAAGAACTCATAGCAACCATCATGCTTGTTGCTGATGTTAAGCTCCATCACTCCCACTGTTAAATTTTCCTTGCTGTGAATACTAATAATTGCTTTCTACTCGACCCTCCGCAGCCTATCAGAGTCCAAATCATTTTGCCTTCATTATATCACGTTTGATTTGGTTTCATCAGCAGCACCATTTTCATGCATCTTGCTTAACTATTTCAAAACAAGAAACGTTGAATGCTCTCAGGCTCGAATCTACGATGTCAACTAGACTTGGAATACACTATGCCACTCTCCATGATCTAATCTTAGTCCTACAAACTTCGAAGTTCGAACTATCAGTGTGTACATGCGTTGAGGGAAAGGAGTGAACAGGGAGTCAAGCGGGAAGCGTGTGCCAGAAAGTGGGGGAAGAGGTCTTCTGGGCCTTCAGGGGGGGGAAGGGAGGAAAGGACAGCAAAGGTTCTACTGCTGCTAACCTTGATAGACAGTAGATGAGGACAGGCTGCATGCAAATTATATTATATATATATTGTCACAGAACTATTGACTAAGAGCGTAAGCATGTGAAGTAGAAGAAGAAATAAGATGAGCGAAGAAAAGAAAAATGAAAGGACAGACAGGCAAAGAGACAGACAAACCAGAATGACAGAAAACAGTGTCCTCGTATTCCTTGTTTCACTGTATTCTTATTCCTTTCAGTGTTTTTACAAAAAAAAAATTACACTGAACAAGGGATAAAAATAAAAAACAAAGACACATTGAAATCATTCAGTTTCTCAGTCTTCTTAGCGCCGCCTCCAGCGTGCCTCTAACGTACAAGGCTTGCCACGTTGATGAAGTTGAGCGCGAGCTGCCCCCATCCCCGTATGCCATAACAGCCCACTTGCACGCTATGGGAAAGAGGCAGAGTGAAGGAAGAGGTGTTAAACACAAGGAAGGGCGGAGCAGAAAAGGAAAACTGATAGGCAGAGGGAGAAAAAAATAAAAAATATATAATTAATAAAAAAGACACAAATATCTTCTTTCTTTTGCTGCATTCTTCTTTCTTTCACAGTTTTGCAGTTTTGGTGAAGAGTCTACCACGTTCGGTTTTCAGCACACCTGCACTTCTTCATTTTTCATTCTCATTTTCACCCTTCGGACTTTTCCTTTGAGGGTGTTAGGGTGCAGGGTACAAACAAAGTAAAATGGCACAAACTTTTGTTCTTCTTTTACTGCATTCTTCACTGTTTTGCAGTTTTAGTGAAGGGTTCCCCACCTTTGCACATTCTTGTACACTCTTTTCAGCGCACCTGCACATTTTTGTCAGGGTGCAAGGTACGTCTAAGTAAGACCCTCACGACAGATAGGACAACTGTCATAAGGATGTGGGCGATGGTAGCAGCCCCTCCGCTGATCTACAGGACGAAAACCATTCAGGTAAGCAACTTCGTCACAGCAGGAGCCAGGGCGGCTAGCATTAACCATACCTCTGAAGCCTGCACGACAGAGGGCATGCCGGTTGCATGCCATGACGATTGTGGGGCGTTCACCATCACAGTTAAGTGCACATTCGCTTTAGCGCCCGCACGCACAGATGGGACATACTGCATCTGGACGTAGAGGATGTATAGGACCTCAACCTGGTTCTTTCTTGCTGAAGTTCGGATCCACAATGCTTATCCCTCAATGTGATTTTTTCCACAATGCCCATCTCCAATCCTTGGTGTCAGTATTATTTGTTCGCTCGTCCAATTGCATACACCTTTTTCCGGACTTGCACCCACATTACTTTGTCAAATTAATTGTCTTCATCATCTCTCCTTTGATGCCTTCGACCTGTTTTGTTCGATTATTACTTTGTCAAATTGTCTTCATCATCTCTCCTTTGATGCCTTCGACCTGTTTTGTTCGATGTGTTTTGTGTGTGCATGTATGTTTGGGGGGAGTTCAGGAGGGAGGGGAAGTGAGGAGAGGAGAAATGGAGTTTGATGTACACTCCATCCTTACCCCGGAACCCCCCCCCCCCCCCCCCCCCCCCCCCCCCCCCCCCCTCCTCCTCTTGTGCAATTTCCCATCGATGATTTGATGCGAATTATAACTGCTCCCTCTTTGCCTACCATGCCCTCCGAACAACCCATCTGCCGACCAGTGACCAGTCAGAGTCAGTCCTGTGTCTGCCCTTTTCTTCTACTATCTCTGCCCCTCCACTGATTGCCTTCAGGCCAACTTGGGGCATACTTGAGACTAAGACCTTTTGGACTGGATCGGCTACTTCCTAGGTAGTTCAGGAGTGTGTACGCCCCTAGATACGCGTTCCTTAATGTCAAAAATGATGCATTCGCACGCCATACCTGTGGCTTTATCCTTTGTTTCAGCACCCTCTTGGTGTTTGACTCCATCATCGGCAGTCTTCTCATCCATCTCTTTCTTAGAGAATTGCACGAGATGGTCTTGAATGTTAATGTAGATAGCATCCTTGTCATAAAGCATCTCTCCCACATCAGACATGGGTGCATACAGCAGCTTTTCCTTTTCGTTCAGCTTCCTCTTTTTCAGTTCGGATGGCAGAGGGCATGGGTCAGGCAACGCCATCATCTCTGCAACACGGCAATCGCCTACACCAGCAATGTGGATCTGCAAAGAAACACACGCACACACACACACACACACACACACACACACACACACACACACACACACACACACACACACACACACTCCTGATGAGTTGGTGAAAATCCGAAGGAAAAGTCTCTCACAATCACCCCTTTATTGCAGTGTTATGTATAGCTAATACAGAACACAGAGAGGAAGGAGAGGGGGGGGGGGGGAGGTGGGAGAAAGAGAGAGAGGTGCTCAATACCCCGAGAGACGGACACACCCAGTGCATACATAATTCCCTGTAACAATTCCCTGTAAGGGGGTACTCAATAGGCAAGCTGCGCAGCACACCAGTTACTCCAACCGGGAGAAAAAAAATGTGTAAGATGTCACAGCTGGAACTTAAAATGCTGTCGTCGTTGTCAGCCCAAATGATCGAAAATGCAAGCAAAAACAACAGAAGCACAAACAAAAAACTAGAAATGCGAAACAGCAAGGTGAACTACATGACAAAGGCCACGAACAAGGTGCCGGAAGAAAGAAAAAAAGCACAGCTAGCAAACACAAGAAAGCTCACAGTAAATACGGAAAGCACAAGAATTTGAACAAGGACCAAGCAAAAAGCAAACAAACAAACAAACAAACAAACAAAACATTAATAGAAATCCCCACAACAACCGGTCAACATTCCAAGGAATTGCTACAGTTATTGCGAAACAAGGTGCGTTCATTTGTTTCGCAATAACTGTAGCAAAGCCACTGCTAGGCCAGCTGGTGAGTAAGCAATTGCAATCTCAGCTGCTGAGTTACATCTGACCTGTTATCGAACACATCAACCTGCAAAGAACCACATGCGAAGCAAGTGGGACAGGCAACCGGAAAGAGTTACCTTTGTCCGGTTTCACCATACGCAAAACAGTCCATCGCAAGAGTTGACGCGACACCCACGACCAATGTGCAATTGACTGTCCGCCAGAAACAAGATCATAAACTCTAAGAAACGTTTTTTTTTTTTGGGGGGGGGGCCATTTCTCGACGTATGCATGTCATCCATGCACAGGGGCCATGCGAATCTTCTCTGAATCGTTCCAATTTAAACGGATGTCCCGAAAAAAGAAACTTTTTTTATTTGATTTGATTTTGCCGGGGCCTTTGGAGGACCACGAATCAGATATTAAGCTGATCAATCAGAACAGGTACTACACTCAATCTTATCGTCTTATGATTATTACCCAAATTGCTGTACCTAGACTGAAAGTTGCCACAAATGCAGGCATAATTACGGTACGTTCTTTTCGGGTGAAGACAGTAGGAAAGGACAGGTCCGTCAGAGAACGTGGAAAAGGTGATGAGGAAAGGTCAGGAAAGGCTACCGTCTTCTCCCGAGCAGAAACATACGGTAATTATTGCTGTACCTAGACTGAAACTTGCCACAAATGCAGGCATAAGTACGGCACATTCTTTTCGGGTGAAGACGGTAAGGGAAGGTCAGCAATGGCTAGGGAAGAAGGTTGTGAAAAAAGGCCAGCCAGCAGGAAAGGTGGTCACATGACGAAAATGAAAAGCTCGGGAATATTGAGTAGTCTTATCATTTTCATCTTCATTGATTTGTTGAGATTCGACACCTCCTGTAATCTTGCTTGTGCATCTCACTTCTCGGTGTTCTCACCCACCTTCGCATTTTGCTTGAGGTTGCAGCCGCGCAAATAGCCATAGACTGTCACATTCCTGTCGCATTTGGGGTTCACTCGTATGTCCTCTGGGTCGGTCACATCCTCCATACGATCTGCAAGCATGTAGGGATGGCTAGAACGCCACACCAATGGCCGGAACTTCGCCACAGAGATAAATCTTGCAAGGTTCAGAACATCCCGGTTTGAGTACCTGGTAAAAGGACAGAAGACGAACATAATAAATACTTTGTAAAGGGTGTTATAAATGGTATTCAGCCCCAACAACAAAAAAAAATGCAGAACAATGTGTGCCAAGTTGCTAACCACTCAGGCTTCGTTGCTGGGTGGGTGGGCGGGTGGGTGGGTGAGATGACAAACAACAAGCAGAAAGAGGGCGTGGCTAGGGACGCCCCTTTTTCCACAAACTTTGGGACTCTGGTCTGCAGATAGATATACTGTAGAAAGCGACCAGAATATAATGTAGAGAAACTCAGAAAAGAGAATTCGCAAACAAAACATGCCTATAACAGAGTGTCCAAGGAAGAAAAAAGAAAGGGGCCAACAGAATGCCAAGGGAGGAGAATTGACTGCCATCTGACTCGAAGACGAAGGGATTGCACACAGAGCGAGAGAGAGACAAACAGACACGGGGAGGGAGGGAGATTGAGAGAGAGACACACACAGAGACAGACAGACACGGGAGGAGAGAGCGACAGACAGCCAAACAGACACGGAGGGAGAGAGAGAGAGAGAGAGAGAGAGAGAGAGAGAGAGAGAGAGAGAGAGAGAGAGAGAGAGAGAGAGAGAGAGAGAGAGAGAGGTGGAGAAGGAAGCCAGTGCGTGGCCGAAGAGCAATGGATGGGAACAAGACGAGGAGAGGAGAGAATAAGGAAGCAGGAAGAGATTGCACAGAGGGAGAGAAAGACTCAGGCACAGAGCGAGAGAGCGAGAGAGACGTGGAGAAGAAAGCTATGCATGGTTGAAGAACAAAGAATGGTGAACAAAGACAGGACAGAAGAAGGAAGAGTCAACGTACTTTCCATGAACCATTCCGCTGATGTAGAATAGCTTCGCACCCTCGTAGATCTCCGTCCAGAAACGATGCTTCAACCGTTTCTTTGTTTTGCGCAATTTCTTTGCGTCCTTGAAATGATCGAGGTGTGTCAACACTCCCATCACCTTCGGGAAGCCGTGAAGTTGAAGAATGTTCAAGAATTCAAATGTTTCCTGTTTGACACAGAAGGAACAAAGACAGTAAAACTGAGTAAATATTATTTTTCTCAGACACAATGCCTTGCTTTGTTTCCTGTTAGAGAAAAAAAAAAAAAAAAAATGTTGACAGAGTTCTTTACAATGGCCTTTTTTTTCCTTTTCCTTTTTTTTTTTTGAAACAATACCATCTCAGCAAGTACAACCCTAACCGTGAGGAGATCCTGGGTTCAATTTCTTTGTTTTCTTCTTCATATCTCATGACATGCAGCAGGCGGTTCAAGTACAACACCCCCCCCCTCTGCGCTTGTTTTTTCCCTTTTTGCCAGCACGTCACCCTCACCTTTCCGTCCAAACACGCCAAAATAGCATCCGAATGCCCCCCCCCAAAAGGCCCCAAAACAGCAAAAATCGTACGTAATACAGATCGGGGGGGGGGAACGGCTGCCAGGTGGAACAGTACAACACAATGTGCTCTTTGACAGGATAATCTTATTTTGCTAGCTAGATAGTAAATACATCACAAACACGTTTGGAGGTGGCCTTATCCATATGCGGCCTACAGATAAGGCCACATACAAGCAGATCCCCACAACTATACAGGCTTGGCGAACTGTGTTTGGCTTTGATGGATTTGTTGACTTGTTGACTCAATGACTTGTTGACTTTGTCGGCATGGTCAACTGCATTTCCCTTTGTTAACTGCATTTCCCTTTGTTAAGGGCATTTGACTTTGTTAAGGGTATTTGACTTTGTTAAGGGCATTTGACTTTGTTAGATTTGTTGACTTTGTTAGATTTGTTGACTTTGTTGGATTTGTTGACTTTGTTGTTGACTTTGTTGACTTGTAGATTTTGTTGACTTTGTTGACTTCGTACGGGTGAAGAGAAGCTTCATTTGACTTTGTTGGCTGGCTTTGTTGACTTTGTGGACTTGTTAGGGGTGACGAGAAGCTTCCTTACCATCTCAAAGCCGAAGCTACCGTCGATGAGCAGCAACACGAGATCTGCAACCTTTGCCGCATCAATCATGGCATTAAGATCGTTGGCGCACTCGAGGAATTGCAGCCGCCGTTTCTTCCCCGATACAATGGTGATCGGCCCCTTGACATCGGACATGTTCTGCTTCGTATAGTGCTTAATCAACGACCGGATGACAGACGTCTTTCCTGACTGATAACACGATCAACAACATGCACATCGCCCAGCCACAAAGCCAAATGCATGACCATGTCAGCAAGAAAGACAGGCACGCCCAAAATCGACGACTAAGCATGTCAGGAAGAAAGACAGGCAGGCCCGAAATCGGCCAACAGAGAATAACTAGTAGCTTGCTGGTTGACCCGCACAGATACGAAGTCAACGTTTTTGGTATCAAGGGTGTCCGATGCATTGCAACTAGCTGTACTTTCATGCGCGCCGAATAACGCGAGTGCAGCATTTGCCCGTGGGTTGTGTTATTCGACCCACAGCCAAATGCTGCACTCGCGTTATTTGGCGCACATGGAAGTACAGTTAGTTGCAATGTATCGGACAGCCTTGATACCAAAAACGTTGACTTCGTATCTGTGCGGAGCAGCCGACAGCCCTCCCCCTGTGGCCAATGCTGCTTAATCCACCACTGCTCCCCGGCGCTAACTTGAACCTCCACTCGTTGATTCGACCAATCGCACAGCCTCAAGGGGGGAGGGGGGGGGGGGGGAAAGTTGATTTCGTATCCAGACGGCAGCAGCCCATGGCCCTCCCTCTGCGGCCCAATGCCGCTTAGTCTCCACCACTTCCCCCGATGCTATTTCAACTTTTACGGTTTACCAAGCCGGCCGTTTTTTTTTCCCGAGACTGGCCCACTGAACCAAAAAAATGTGGGTTGAACTGGTAGCAGCGGCCTTTTGGCTAAAAATAGATCAACTGCACTGTATCTGTTCTGATCAGGTTAATATGTGATCCACTACCAAAAAAAAAAAGAAACAAAGAAAGAAGGAAAAAAAGGTGAGTCCGCAATTTTTCTGCCATAAAGAAACTTTCTTTACTTTAATAGTTTTCTAAAAAATTATCCTGAGCACAAAAGACCAAAGTCGGCACACCCAACGTTCTTTTTAAAAGCTGCCAACAGCCCGCAGCCAAGCCTACCGGCCCACCCTGCAACCAGCCGTGGGTGCGAAGTTGCGCATTTTCAAAGCATCAGAGGAAGTGTTGGTTTAAGCTGCTGCCAGTGCTTCTAAGGCACTTTTCTCCGACCCCGAAAAAGCCCTCCGCAGTGCAATCCAAAAAAAAAAAGAAAAAACGAGCCAGTGCGACCACCGTTTGGCTGGCGCCGCCAGCCATTTTGCTCTGGAGGCCGAGCCCTGAAAGCTGCGGCACGTTAACGTGAAATGCCCACGTCTGATGTATGGGCCAAGTACTGGTGGTTTAAGCCGCCACTACCTTTCACAGGCAACACAGATATACCATGCACCCCATTCTTTGGAGGCCGGGCGCCACCGGTACCACAATGCCTGGCGGCGCAAGTCAAAACAAAAAAGAAAAAAAGAGTCGCGCGGGCGCTTCAGCAAAGCTCGGCACGCAGTTCTTCTCGGCCTCGGCACCACCAGTACACGTCGTACATCGGCCCTGCGCCCCTTTCGGAGGCCGGAAACGCGACCAAAAAAAAAGGCTGCCTGCCGATGGAAATATCAATGCTGACCCGGCGACGACTTTTGCCCTGACTTTTTTGGGTCGGCTACGAGTTCTTTTTCACCAAGCAGCTGGGGCCGTGTACTGGTTGGATGAAAGGGGGCAGGAGGACTGATTTATAGCAGTGACTCCGGAAGCTCAGTCCATCTGAACTTAGAGAAGTAAGAGTGACTTTTCCAAGTCCACCACAAAATGATGAAAAATGACTTCTGGTCCACTCAAGAATAATCCGGACTCCATTGGAAAGGTCAACAGGATTCGAAGAAAATTCGAGAAGTGCTATCCTAAGGCCCTTACCCTCAAGAGGACCGATGAAAAGACAGGTGTCTGGGATTTTTGGGGGTGCAGGATGGAGGTCAGAGACAGTTTTCCCTTTCTGGGAAGTGCGCAGGTGACCAAAAATGAATCGACCATGTGGACTACCAGTGAGACAATTTTCAGAACTGTTCAGGATTTTTTGTCCTCGTCCAGTGGTAAGCAAAAGCTGGCGGGGATTACCGGCTGGTTCCACCGCATTGACAGAAACACTACGATTCGGACACGGATTCCAAAACAGGTCCTGACCGTCCGCTGGGAGTACCGGGCCAAGGATTACCCGGATGAGCTCTTCGGGACGGCGCTGCACAATTTTTCACGGACGCATGATGCCATGTGGAAATTGGCGGCAGCAGTAGTCGATTGTTGTTAGGAGGAAGATGTAGACTATTAATAGCATCACTACGATAGTTTTGTCCTCTTTGATGGCATGGCACCGGAGGTTGCTCCGGAATGGGTTGGTAGGAAGAAAAGGGCATGAGTTTGGGGACGATGAAAGGGGGCGAGAAGTAGCGGGGGCTCTGCTTTTCTAATAAGTTCATGTTGTTTTCAAGGACTTCTACCCGCGTTCGTATTCATTGCGATCGTCTGTGCATGTTTGCTTTTCACACACACTCAAGAATAATAACCAAATTGCCTTTGGCTTCCCGTTGTATGTATAAAAAAAAAAAAAAAAAAAAAAAAAAAAAAAAAACAAACAAACAAACAAACAAACATAGATTGTGGTTGTCAACATGTTGATCCAGCCCAACATGTCAGACAACTCACAGACCTTCATTACCTTCGGTTAATCTCAGGGATTTTTTTCGGATAGGCAGGTTGAGAGTTCAAATCTTATAAAGCGAGACGAGAAAATGAATGAAAAGAGGAGGCATGCGGGTCAGTAACCACCAAAAGACAATTACCACCACACCACCCCACCCCACCTCTCCTCTCCTCTTTTCACCTCCTCAACCCCCGTCCGCTCAGCTTGCAGGGGGGCAAACTAAAATCAAATTTAAACCACCAGCACACACCCCCAGCCTTGCAGAAAAGTAAACTTGTCGCCACAAGAGAAATTTGAGGCTCGGGGCCGGCCTGGTGAAGCGATGGGCACGTAGCTTGTGGGCCCATCGAAAACGGGCAACTGGACTAAAGCTTTCCTGCTTGTCCTGTCTGCCCATGCATTTCCACATTCACGTACAGAGCCAGCATCGCTGGCACGGGGATAACAACAAAGAAAAAGCAAAAAAAAAAAAGAAAAAAAAGAAAAGAAAAACGAGAAGCATTGGGTCTGGAAGCACACAAGACAAAAAAGGTGGCAATGTATCTTTCCATATTCTAGGTTTTCTGGGTTTCCCTTGGATGGATTTCGCCACATTCCTGGTCCATATTTGAGGGAACTCAAAGAGTCTTTCTGTTTTAGGTGCCCTGCCAGCAAGGCAGGGCGTTTTTCAACTGTTCCTGGTGGCCCATTCCTCTCGGTGCACGTATCTACCGTCTAAAGCAGTCTTTATGCATCGAGGGGCATGCCTGTGGGGGCAAGCAGCCCCCAACCAGTTACTGGCGCCTGTCATCACGGACTGCCAGCGAAATAAGTGGAGATACGTGCCCAGAAAGTAGGACCATTGTTTTGCTGGTTTTTTTTTCATGAATCTTTTACCGTTTATGGTCAGTTACAGGTTCCGGGATAAATATATAAATAAAATAGGTTAAGAAAAAAACAATGATAATGGCTTCCTTTCACATCGAAATTCTTTACCAAATTCAAAAAATAAATAAATTAAAAACATATTTTAAATTTTAAAATTTTAATTTATTTTTGGCCCAGCCGGGGAAGTTGCCCCGGGCCACACTGGTAGCCTAGCAATTTACCCATTTCAAGTCTTAATTTGGCTTTTTGTTTTTATATTTTTCTGAAAGGATTTACCAGCTGCCTTAGCATGTTGGACAGAGCCACTCTACGCCGGCGGGCTTTGGGGAGCTCTAGGTGAGAGAGAGGGAAGGAGGGAGATCTATGCAAGAGAGAGGAAGGGAGGGAAGGAGCTCTAGGTGAGAGAGAGAGGGAGGGAGGGAGCTCTAGGTGAGAGAGAGGGAGGGAAGGAGATCTACGCGAGAGAGAGAGAGAGGAAGGGAGATCTATGAGAGACGGAGAGGGAGGGAGGGAGCTCTATGACAGAGAGGAGGAGGGACGGAGCTCAATTAGAGAGAGATAGAGAGGGAGGACAGGGAAGGGAGAGAGGATTGGAAGAGAAGAGGAGGAGGATAGAGGAGGAAGAACGAGGGCAAGAACAATGGCATATACTCACAGCAATGGGGCTTTTCTTACCACGTATCTGACCTCAATTAACGCCAAATCCAATCCAGAAAAATCCAATCATCCATCCACACAAGACCAGCCGTGAGTATGTCCTAGGATGCTCCCACGTGTCCTCCTTACCTGTGGTGGTCCCTGAACGACCACCAGAAACGGTGGAGGTTCGTCGGCCGTCCGATCAACAAGGGGTACATGCAACTTTCGCTGCTCCTTCTCTGCCGTTCGTGCCTGCAGCTGCTTCGCCTTCCTTACAGATCGAAATGTGAAGGCCTGTGAGAGGGGGTGGGGGGGGGAGGAGAGGGGAGAACAAAAAAAAAAAAAAAAAAAAAAAGGGGAGGGGGGGGGGAAAGAGGGGGGGGGGGGGGGAGGGGGGGGGGGGGGGGGGGGAGGGGGGGGGGGGGGGGGGGGGGGGGGGGGGGGGGGGGGGGGGGGGGGGGGGGGGGGGGGGGAGGGGAGAAAAAAAAAAAAAAAAAAAAAAAGCACACACCCAAAAACGTCAGAGAAACATCTCCCCCTCTAAGCACCAACGCAAAAACTAAAATTCTGATCAGACCTCATCATGCAATCGGCAAACCTGTTGATGACGGCGCCGTTAATTCTGCACCGACCCCTACTCCCACCCCCCCCCCCCCCCCCTCTTCCCCTTCATCATCACAATGGTAACGACTACCTATCACGAGAACAGACGAACACGAAAGAGCTGTCTCTTATACACATCTAGATGTGTATAAGAGACAGGCGTGTGCCAGAAAGTGGGGGAAGAGGTCTTCTGGGCCTTCAGGGGGGGGAAGGGAGGAAAGGACAGCAAAGGTTCTACTGCTGCTAACCTTGATAGACAGTAGATGAGGACAGGCTGCATGCAAATTATATTATATATATATTGTCACAGAACTATTGACTAAGAGCGTAAGCATGTGAAGTAGAAGAAGAAATAAGATGAGCGAAGAAAAGAAAAATGAAAGGACAGACAGGCAAAGNGAGGCCAGGAACGTCCTTCCTTAGTGCAAACGACACACTGACCAAACCACAAGATCCTTAGCCCCCTACTGTACTGTAGTACAGGGCCATACATCTGTCTCTTATACACATCTAGATGTGTATAAGAGACAGCCCCCCCTCTTCCCCTTCATCATCACAATGGTAACGACTACCTATCACGAGAACAGACGAACACGAAAGAGGTGATGATTGATGAGATTAGGGATACATAATAAATATAATACCTGACAATGAGGATGATGATGGTTAGCCAATGATGCTGCTGCTCTGCTGCTGCTGCTGCTGCTGATGATGATGATGCTGCTGTTGCTGATGATGATGATAATGATGATGTTGATGATGATGATGATGATGATGATGATGATGATGGTGATGATGATGGTGATGATGATGGTGATGATGTAGATGGTGATGATGATGATGATGATGAACATAATCGTTCATCATCATCATCATCATCATCATCATCATGGTGATGAGGAGGAGGAGGAGGGCGATGCTTGGTTTTAGATGATAATTCCAAAGAAGATTAATGCGAAACGTGATTTGAAATGATTGGATGACAGCTATTGACAATACCTAACAAGAGCCTTCTGCTAGAACTTGTGGTCGTAGCCTCTATATATTTTTTTTTCTGGTCGGTACTGCCTTTACGAGCCTCTACAATCAAAATCCAAACAAAAGTGGAGCGACGTCCTTGGCCAGTCTCTTCTGTGAACTCCTCCTCGTCGTCGTCGTCGTCGTCGTCGTCGCCGTCCTCCTCCTCCTCCTCCTCCTCCTCCTCCTCCTCTTTCCTCCTCCTCCTCTTTTCTCTTCTGGAAGCTATCAATCCTTATCATGTCTTGGATGGCAGATCGGACGGATGGGAGAAGAGAGACGAGTATCCATTTGCAGAATTACCCTTTCATTTCAAAGGTCTGCGTTGGATTATCATCCTCCTTCTTCATTTCGCTTTTTTTGTTTTAATAAAAAAGACTTCAAAAAGCGGGCTATGAAATTATTAATTTATTACAGTAATACCTATTACTTATTACACATTCTCCTCCCCCTTGCGCACCTCCCTTTGCCTCTACTCCTCTTCTTTCTCCTCTTTTTTTCCCTCTGTCCCTCGCCATCATCGCCGCCGGCCCGCCGCCGCCGCCGCCGCCGCCGGCGGCAGGTACCCCTTACCTTACCATTCCCCACTTTGGCTGCCTCTTCATTAAACGCAACTTGGCCGTTGTGTAACCGGGAAAGGGGGGGGGTGGGAGGGGGGAAGGGAAAAAAATAATGCGTAATAATAAATAAATAACGAGTGTTCTTTTTTTTTTCAATAGTAAATGAATCAATTGAGAAAATAAGATAGCGCTTTATCAACATTCCACTTCCCGCCTGCACTTTTTTCTGCACAGTTCACGTCCATCTTCTTCTGGGCGGTGGTCCCCCCCCCATCCTTCTGCCTCTTAGCATCGTCTTCACTCTCTCTTGACTTCCTCCCAACTTGACGCACCTCCGTCTCTGATTCAACCTCCATCAATTTCTTCCTCTTGCTCTTCTCCTTCTTCCTCTTCTTCTTCTTCTTCTTCTTCCTCTTGCTCTTCTTCTTCTTCTTCTTCTTCTTCTTCTTCTTGGATGGCTTAAGAGGGCGATCCCGATCCCAGCCTTGCGTGGACTCGCAAGACCTCTTCATTCGGTGGAAGAATGTACAAAAAGTGCAAACGACAGTAGACCCGCAAGGCTGGGATCGGGATTGCCCAGTGAGGGAGAAAGTGCGCGTTCTCAGACTTGTACGAGCGCTGTGCACCGTTATTTATCCGAAGCTTGTCACTCTTAAACGGCTTATGGCCACTGGTTGTCACTCTTCTTCTTCTTCTTCTTCCTCTTCCTCTTTTTGTTCATTAGATTATCAGTAGTTCATTACATTATTATTTTTCTGCTTCTTTTTCTTCTTCTAGTGCTGCCGCCACTGCTTACTCCTCCGTCCTCCTACCCCCTCCTCCCTCCTCCCTCCTCCTCCTCCTCCTCCTCATCATCATCATCATCATCATCATCGTCATCACGATCATCATCATCGCCAGAATCATCATCATAGTCATCATCTTCTCCTTCTTCGATTTTGCCAGCATGATCGGCAGCATCGTCGTCACCACCTTCTTCTTCTTCCTCTTCCTCCGCCTCATCATCTTCTTCTTCTTCGTCCTTCTCTTCTCCTCCTCCTCCCCCTCCCCTCCGCCCTTCCCTTAATTCTCCGTCGTCTTCTGGCTGTCCGCCTTACCAGCACCGATAGCAGCCGCAGCGGAGGCGCTATCGTGTTCATAGCAGAGACTGGCCAAGTTCGTGTTGTTGTTTTGGAGTTTGATGGCGGCGATCGCCATCGCCCTTTTTGTCGCCATAGCCGAGATGGCGGTCGCCGCCATCAAACTCCAAAACAACAACACGAACAGGTCCGATCGGTCGCCGCCCTGCAGTTCTCGCAGTGGCCGGGATCGCGATCGCCGCCGCCATATCCACCAAAAAAAAAAAAAAAGACGGCATATACCCTGCCCTGCGACGTCTTCGCTGCCCCTGCAGCTGCAAAGGAAATTAAAACGTTATTCCCGTCTGTCAACTCAAGTTTTCATTCCCGTCTTTTTTTTTTTTCTTTTTTAACTCTCTCTTTCTTTTTTCCCTTTTTAAAAAAAAAGAGGGCCTTGGCCGTGAGATGTCATCTTTGAACCAACTGGTCCCAAGCAAAGGCCCTTTTTTTTGTCAAAAGAGGGCCTTGACCTAATAACATTCCCCCCCCTAGCAAATTCAGAGGTATTTCTACTCATCTCATCCCATTGGAATTCGAACTCAGGTTTAAAAAAAAAAAAAAAACTCGGTCTGTGTTTCAACACTTTATAGGTGGACGAACTGAGCTAGGCCAGTCGGTTCTCTCTTATTTTTCACTTTAACGATTTCTCATCCTTTCACTAGTATGGACTCTCTCTCTCTCTCTCTCTCTCTCTCTCTCTCTCTCTCTCTCTCTCTCTCTCTCTCTCTCTCTNTCTCTCTCTCTCTCTCTCTCTCTCTCTCTCTCTCTCTCTCTCTCTCTCTCTCTCTCTCTCTCTCTCTCTCTCTCTCTCTCTCTCCCCCCCCCCACCGCTTCACCTTTTTTCATACGTATTTCCAAAGACGTTGATTTTATTCGAAAAGAAAAGGAGAAAAAGAGAGGGAGAGAGAAAAGAGTAAAGACAGAAGAACCACGATCCCATCAACGAACAGGCAATGAATCGGACCCGTTTTGGCGGGGAGAGGGTGGCACTTCATTCCTTCTCCCCCCCTCCCCCCAACGGGAGAGAAAGAAAGAAGACGCGGGGGAAGAGAGGGGGCGGAGGGAGGGGAAGAACTGGGAGCAGGGAGGGGGAGAGGAAGGAAGAGAGGGAGACGGAAGAGGAGGGGGAGGGGGGAGGGGGGAGGGGGGAAGTTTAAGGGAGAAAAGGGGGAAGAAGAAACAGGACATCACCTTGAAATTCTCTTTGTCTGTTGATAACCCTCTCTTCTTTTTGTCGGCAGCTTTCTTCTTCTCAGCGCTTGGCCCAGATTGACGTGCTCGATGGGACTTCTTCGCCTTGTCCTTCTCTGAGACGCTGCCGCCAACGCTTGCACCCCCTCCTCCGGCGGCCGTCATAGCCAGCCCAGCCCTTCCCCCAGGAATTTTCTCCCCCCGCCCCATCTCGATCAGCCCCCGCAAGTCTCCAGTCCCCAAGGAAAAAAAAAGAAAAAAAGAAAAAAAAGGGATGTCAACCCAAATTTGGAGAAAAAGCCTTTCAAAAACTCGGCTCGCAGTTCCGGCACGTCGACCGATCTTCGAGATCTGTACGGCAGATTAACCGACAACGATGCATCGAGGCAGCAGACTGAGGAAACACGGCGATGGAAAACGACACATCACAAAAGGGAGCAGCTATGGCGTAAAGCACCAGGGGTGTGGGGAAGTAGGGGGGGAACTGCAATAGAGACGACTACCGGTAGCACGGAGATGGACGAAGCACAGACAGAGAGAGAAGAGGGGGAAGAAAAGAAAACAGGAAAAGACGGCGACCGCACAGTACTGGTTCACCTACCGGTAGCCGCGGTATCACCCGCCACCAGGATTTCCATTCCAGTAACGCCCGAACGAGGGACTCTCAAGGCCAGGGCGCCCACTGGTGCTATGAACCTGGCCAGCTAAGAGGCCAGGAACGTCCTTCCTTAGTGCAAACGACACACTGACCAAACCACAAGATCCTTAGCCCCCTACTGTACTGTAGTACAGGGCCATACATCGGCCGCGGCCCTCTCACCGCGAATGTTTTTTTTTTTTTTTTTTTTTTTTCACCGCGAGGTTCGGAGACCCTACCGTAGGTGATGAACAATTTCTCCACAAGGCTGGGGCCATGTACTACGTTCTTCCCCCGAACATAACGCATATGCATTGTAAACGAAAACAATAATAGAGTGTTTTCTATTCGAATACAGCACATGTGCGTTTTATTCAAATAGCCTGACCTTTCGAATACAACGCATATGCGTTCTATTCGATTTTTTCCCCAAATTTTGAAACTCGAATACAACGCATATGCGTTATGTTCGGGGGAAGAAGGTAGTGGTCTAGGGCCAGGCGCTGCTGGATGTGTTTCATGCCTAGATAGCACAAACCTTCCTACCCAGGGGCCCAGGTCTGTGCGCACTAAGCAGGAACATAAGAGGAATGGACCCTGGCCCATATGGTGCTATGTTTGTGCTAAGGGGCAGGCCCCTCTGGTGTTCAGCCTCTGGAAGGCATTGACTTTAGTCCACGCTTGCTTAGCACTAACATAGCATCAGCACCCCTCTTCCGTTAGCTTAGCTCGGCCCGCTGGTGCTATGCATGCTAGAAGCCATGGACCTGGGTGCCACCCTGGGGCCATGGCACAGCTGGGCCTCATCGTGGATGGTCCGCAGTTGTCAGTAGCTGTGCCTCTGTTCAGATGCTCCTATGAAGCTTCATATGGCTGTGGTTTGTTCTTCCCCCCCTTTGTTGAAGGGTCCGGAGGAGGAAAAGGAAGCGTATGGCTCTTTTCCCCCTCTCCTTCCAGTAGAAATTGCCAACCCTCTAAGGTTTTATTTTACTGCTTACGGCAGCTAAACTTGAAAATGGGTCCCAAAAGTGGTCACCCCCCCCAACATCAAGAATTTGTTCCCGTAGCAAAGCCTCTTTCTCCGGATGTGGCACTCTCTTTTGCTCGCCTGGGACTACCGAAATGTTGCCAGGTCAGGCGGGGTCCACTGTGGGCCGCCAGCCCGTTTGGTCCAGTAGTCTAACCTGACCGCAGCCCCAAGCACTTTCAGAGTGCCCTGTGAAGTCTGTCTTCGGGTGAGGAGTTGCGGGGTCAAAGATTGAAACATATATATTTTTGTTGTATCAATGTAAAGCAATTATGTTAGGATCTCTTCTGGGCAATGGTTCACTCAAAACATTCAATAAGATTGCATGTGATACGCAGCCTCACGCCCCCTTGCGGCTTCCCGTACTGAGTCGCCGATCAGAGTTATAGGAGGGGCGTGGCCGAGGATTTTTGGCCGTAGGGGTTGAGTCTCCCGGTCGGAACGGGAGGCTCTCGTTTCGAACCAGAGGTTATCCCGGGATCGAACTGTCGTCGCGAGGTCCCGTAGGGGTCGGATCACTTCGGAGCGATAAAATCAGAAGGGGTTCCGCAAAAACGAACTGCCGTCGTGCATCAGGACGGGAAAAGGCATTAAGGGGAGAGGGCCATGGCGGCGGAAGACAGAAACTCCGGCCATCGTGGGTTTGAGGGATAGGTGGTGGGTTCGAAGCCTTCAGGCCTCGTCATCGGCCACATGAAGTGACCGGACCGTCGGGTTTTTGCTGTAGAGGGGGTTGGTTCGAGGCCTTCAAGCCTCGGCGTCGGACTCGCAAAGTCCGCGCGGAAGTTTCCGAGAGGGCGAAGCGGCGGGAGGACTCACCGACGTCCGAATTCGAAATTGCGCGGGTAGCGCCCCTGCATTACGGGAGAACTCAAGGAAACGTGTCGCTCCCTCGTAACCCAGACCAAGCGTCGCCAAGAACACGAGTCCCCCTGGCGACACCAGCGACAATCAAACTGTGGCCGCCACGCGGTGTGAGCGGCCGACCAGGGCAACACAGTCAAACCCGTATAAGGCAATATTAGAATCGGGGAATCAAAGCGATCAATCAAGACAAACCCGTTCCCCCTTATATTACACACCCGAGGCGGGTCTCACCAACACACTTGCTCCGTCCGTCTCAGCGCGCGCCGTACGTCCGCATCGCAGTAGACGTTGTCGTCATCTGCAATGGGGAAGGTCGGTAGCGAGATGAGACGATCGGAGGCGCGCGACGAACACGGGCAAGATCCCGCGCTCCCGGTCATCCGGACCAATACCGACTCCATACAACACTCGATGCAACCCTTCTCTCTCAAAGTTTGTGCATCGAGAGAAGATGGCAAAATCTAAGCTCTCTTACCCTTGTGGGAGCGTCGACCGCGCGCGCGCGGACGCCGACGGTTGACGTCACCGGTGTAGGGACGAGAAGCTAAAAAAAAGCGATGATTACCAGTTCAAAAAGAAAGGCGAGAGAGAGAGAGAGTTACACGAGACTGCGCGTGCACGCAGGAAGGGCCGCAGAAGGGAGGGGAACAACGGGATCAACACACTCATACTCCTAAGCAGACGGTCCTCCAGTTCAGTTCCCCCGTCCCCGCCCGGATAAGTACATACACACATACATGCATGCAATCAACAACCCTTGACAGGACATCCAATCATCCATAGACCTTCGACATCACTCATGCGCACAACCAGCTCCCATCACTCGGGGCCTCACACACACGTCATGCATAGACAAAGCAGCAATGGAGATAAAAGCGAGTCCTTCTTGTATACAAAAATTCTCAATTAACTGCCGCCCCCTGGAGCAGCCTTCAAAACTTCCCAAGACCACCGACCACCATAGCCACAAGGCCCTGCCGCGGCCGGCGTCCAATCCCCACCACTGCTCAGTCCCACCGACTGCTTCGCCCCGAGTCTACCGCGGGTCCACCCCGCGTCGTCACTCCGCCCGCCCTTGGGCTCATCGAGCCTGTTCGGCGCCGCGGATTTCGCGCATAGCTCGCGCAGCACTGCAGTCGAGATCAAAGAGAGGGAGAGGAGAGGGTTGCGCGAATTTATAGCGCGGGAGGCGGCGGGTTGTCAGCGCGAGGTGCGGGCAGCGCGGGGTGTAGATGGGCAGGGCAGAAGAAAGGTGGGGAGTCAGAGGGTTCGACCCGCGGGGTTGCATGGTCCTCCGTGATTGGGGTGTTTGTTCAAGTGGTGCGCCGTTTCCCGCTCTCCACATTGATCCGAGCATACCAACTACGCAGCCAATCACTTCGCGGAGGAAGACGGGGTAAGGATCAAGCTGGGCGTAGGGGAAGACGAAGAGTCCGGCTTGAGGGAAACGCGCGCAGCAAGAAAGGAAGATGGCGCGGGGATGCAAAGCAAGAAACGGGGGTGCGAGACGCGCGAAGAAATCGGAGCTTAGGCGTGCGCGCGCAAAAATTCAAAAAGTCCCCACCGAAACCGTTTCTTGGTTTTCATACCGCGGCCGCTATTCGCCCGCGTAATTAATTAATTCAATTACTGAATAGATATCCATAACATAATGAAAACACCCCCACTGGTACCTAGCCCGCTCACACGCACAGGCTTACCTTGCCTGCGGGTTCACGGGAGCCTCCACAGTGGTTATAGGTCCGTACATTTGGGGCCAAGGCCCTCCTCCGTGTAAGCACAGATTCAAATCGGCGACCTCGGCCTCAAGGGACAAGTCTCTTAACCACCACAGCCAGGGCACGGTGTTCAAATGTGGAAGGCCAGTGCACGGCAAGAAATATCACCTTCGGTAACTTCTGAAAAAAAGTGGTTGTGGTCAACATACAAAAAGATTCCGCTGCTTGTCGTCCAAATGGACTGGAGGCTCCAGCAGTATGGTGAAGTATAGAACAGGCAGGTAGGATTTGTTTTGTGGTGCAATGTGTCATATGTGGCCTGACATATTAGTTGCTGCTTATGCCACAGACAGAGAGGGATGAAGTGTGGAGACGTCTATAGTAACATGACAACACACACAGCCGCGACATTGGCTTACAGTGAGGGTGTGGGTACGCAGCCCGTAGGCCGCCGCGCCTGCGGACCTGCGGAGGAGGGTAACCCAGCCATGATTCAGTGTAAATCAGTATAAGCCAGCCTGGAACATTGCCAGGCCACGTTGACATGCGCATTCACATTAAAACCGTATGGCTAGGAGAGAGGACATGAGAGGACTAGATGTTGTTGTGGAAGGGGAGTTCCCTCTCCTCTCCTGCACTGCTCGACCCCCTCAACTGTTCAGCATAGTACTACCATAGTTTTCTCCCCTGTTGCATTCAGTCTTTAATTATGGGGTTCAATGACCGCACGTCAAGCTACGCCCAGGCGGATGTTCACGAGGCTGGAGGACGGTGACCCAGTTGTGATTTAGTGTAAATCGGCATAAACCCAGGTGTAGCAGCCTGAAAAGTTCCTGGGTTATGCGCTCATACGAAAACATTACAACAAATGGAGATGACCTGAAAATTTGAGAATATGTTTGTTGTGGTGGAGGAAGGGGCCTATGGCCACCCTCCCATTCACACTCGATGCAACCCTTCTCTCACCCCTCCACCCCATCTGAACTCTTCGGTTTAGAATTATGTTTCTCCATGGCTATGTACTTGTCTGATGCAGTTGCGCTCAGTCAATTCACAAGACACACATGAATGTGCCATCTT